TTTTGTATACACAAAAATTAAATAATAAGTTTGTATAATTTGAAAACAATCCCTATTGTTTTGAAAATAGACACTGTAGTTTCAAAAAGTTGAGAGGTCTTTGAATAAATACGAAACATTGTCTACGAAAGTACTGCTTAGCACTGAAAATTCTGTAGAGTTCTAGTTGTAGTTGTGTTGAATTTAAATCAGTGCCCTTCAGATCTTATTAGACTGACAAGCGAATCATCGCTTTAAACTGAATCAAGCTGAAAGAATCTTACGAAGGTTAAGATAACCTTTTTATTAACTCTTTAACAGAAGAAGAATAACCCTTTAAATTTAACACCACTTGTGCTTATAACCAAACCTTTGCCACTCGTGTTCATTTAAAATAATGTCAGTTGAAATTGAAATTCAAGTAACGTTGTCGAAAACTACACAAAACTTATCTAAGCAGGCTCATATACGTACTTTCCATCCAGATATATAATTTTATTATATTTTTTTATATATTTTTATTTTAGAAAGGGGTAGATTTTCGCCTAACTTTTTTTTCTTATTCCGTCTCTGCGTTTAGTAAGTTTAATGCCAGCTGCAAGTGATGTTAGCACCCTGACATTTTCCCGTAATATTTATTGATCTTGTTACGCCTTATCAGACTTATTCATTGAAAACGTTTTACTCCAAAGGTTTACTTTTATTCATTTAGCTATCCGACAACTGCTCCCTCTCATTCTGAAAAATTCTTTGTTTACTGACACTGTGTCCCATTGTGCTTCGACACTCATTAAGGCAAAGTGCCATCTCTACTCATTTTTAACGATCCAAAGACTGTCTGTTTAAACAGTCATGTAAATTGTCATTCTAAATGCTAAAATGCGGTTAATGTACTGCACGGATGTACAAAAAGGGTAAAAGAATGGAGCATTGCGGAATTCTTATAGGCATAAGTTATTTTCATTTTGTGTGATTCTAATTATATTAAAAAAAGGTAAATTATTGTTTAGATAGAATTTGTTTATTGTGATCCTACTCCGTGAAACGCTTAGTTTCACACGTTACGGTTAACATCACGTTAAGTGTTAAAAATGAATGCTCATAAAATATTAATTGCACTATTAATTTTGTCACTCAATGCTTTTTTCCGATCAGTGCAAATAAGGTCTAATGAAATGAAATTTAGAAAATATGTCTCGAAAAAAGTAGCAATGACGTCTTTAAAGCTATTATAAGCTATTTTACTTTTATCTAATATAAATTATATTTTTAATATTGAGTATATTCACAAAAATATTTGCAAACCGTTTAAGAAAATCGTGTTCACTTTGTACTCTACATAAACTGATTTTAAACTAATAGAATGAAAAGAAATGCGCATATTTATAGCAATTTTCTTAAAATTCTATTTAATTATAAAAAAAAAAAACATTTTATGATGAGTGGTTATTCAGATAGTCCTAAAATTATATTTGAAATTAATTCATTGGAAAATGTTAGTGTCTTTGTTTTCTATTTTTAATTATTTATGACATTTTGACTGTCTGTTATAAGTTTTGCCTTGCTTTTTAAAAGATCGCTTTCCACCGTTTCATTAGCTATGCACCACTTTGATGCATGAACTCTTTCTCTTTGGCCCACAGGGGCTACGGGTGAAATCACAAAATACTGATAGTTCGATCCGGGTTCGAACAGCAAGCTGACTGTTGGGTGTTTTTCGTAATTTTTCCCAAGTTTACTTATTACAAGGTTTGCTCTTGTACGACGTCACGTAGCTTCTAGTCTGCTCACAAGCAATTTCTATACTCTTCGTTTCTCTCGCATTTGTCTGTGACATTAGAGCTTCGAAGACCCTAATCTTGTTTGCTAACTAATCTTGATTTTTTCTACGAAACGAGCCAGTTTCCCTTAATTATTTTCCACGAAAACATCTTTTTCCTTTGGCAGGGAGCCCTCACACCCTTTATAATAATCTAAAAAACAATCCAATCCAATTCGCTCTTCTCTTTCTCATATGTTAGTTTACTTCATCACCTGTATACCCACATTCGACGACTCAGCCTAATACACCAACGTCAATACGACAGATTTGGGGCTTTTTAATATCCTAGCCCCCTATAAAAAATTTCTGCATATAAATTAATGGCAATTCTGCTACTTTATGTCATTTTGGTTGGTTTATGAAATATTTCACAGAAAAACGTTATGTTGGATATCGAGGGAAATGTATGTTTATAATGAAATGAAAATGAAACGGAAGCAAATTTTTAAAATACATATTTATCTGGCTTTAAAAATTAAAAACTGAATAATTTTTCACCAATTCTTTCTTATTATTTTATTAATGAGGAATATTTTTAATTCGGGTTGATATAAAATTACCCTGAGTGTTCATAAGAATTTATAGCCGTAAAAGTTTCAAATACGAACGCTCTCATTATTACTACTAAGAAATGCATTATCACTTTACAATTACCGAAGCTACTTCTTAATTTTTACTAAAGTGCAAAGCAGCGAGATCTCTGGAAGAAAAACGCCATGAAATTTTCAAGGATTGAGAAGCATGGGAATTAACAACAGGTGAGGCAAACGAGATTTTGCAATCGCCCGTGGGAATTGAAAATAGAGTATTGAAAACGCCCTCAAATTTTGAGGAAAAGACCTTTAAATTTTTGCAGCGCATTAGTGACTTGAATCAAAAACTTTGCGCGTTTTTCGACCGCAGTTCTAATTTAACTATAATTTCAGACAACCATTGATTTATTAAACTATATTTTGAAATTATTGAAACTAAAAGATACAATTAAGTAGCCCCATGTTATCTTGTGTACCCTTAATACTAAAAAAAGTTGACGCATATATTTCGCTCATATTTTGATAAAGATGAAAGAATCGAGTTAGACTAGCTTATTAAAATAAAACAGTTAAGTTACAGATATCTTTTTATAACTATATTCTAAACGTGCAAGATGTTGAGAAGACTGTAAGTTCTACGGCAGATTATGTAATCCGTAAGTTTAGAAAATAAACTATTAATTAAAAAGTACATTATCTTATAAGACTGCATGTTGTGTTCAGGTGATTAGTACACACATATTTCATATGCACAAAATTTATTTCAGCAGTAAACATGAAGAAAAGAACAAATATGTACAGTAGCGTCTTTATGAAACACAGCTATATTTTATTTGATCTCATACTGCAAAATGTAAACATTTCTCAGCAGTATTTGAGATTAATATCACGGCACCTGTTTTTATTGATTTTAAATTCCACACATCAGTTATAAAAAAATCAAATTCTTTATCATCGTTTTGCGCAAAATTGTGAATTATTTGAAATCGTGAGCTGATATTCATTCTAGAAAGTGAATCTAAATGAAAAGGGGGTTAACTGATGATGTCAATCTCCAAGTGTTCCTTCAGAAATTATAGTATCATGACCACAGCTATGTAACATACAACAACGACTTTAATTCTTTCTGAAAGTAATGTTTAAAGTAAACAAATGCAAATAATTTATGCGAATCCATCAGCCAATTACACTTGTAGAAATATCAACAGCTCTAACGCTTACTAGTTGAGAACACTTTCCGCCTGAAGTACCGCTACATTTTGCATTCTCTTGACGGCATAAATAATCTTTGGCCTGGCCCAAAACACCATACAACCATAATTTAGATTCATTGCACTAGACTATATACAGGGTGGTCATAAAATACCTTCCCCGATGTATGAATCCCTAGTGGCCTGCACCCATTTTTTCCTGCGCGAGTTGATCAGCACATTGAGAAACCGCGAATGGCACTAGGATACACGTATAAGGAAAATTGCCCTTGTAAAACATTTGGTAAAGAAAAGCATTCTAAAGGACAATGACAATGCATGAGAGAAGAAGGGAAAAAAACTTTTATTGGAATTACAAGATTTCAATGTACACGACGTTTCAAGGTAGAATTGCCTCCCGCAACTTTGTAGTTTCGATTCCCGACCTCACTCGAATGGATTTCTGGTTCTGGTGTTATCTGAAACCTAAGCTGTGTGCATCAAATACACGAGATTTATCAAAATTGAAAAGTGCCATAAAATAAGAAGTTATGCATATTTCCTCCTGCGATGTTACGTTCGTCATTGTTGTCAACAAACTCCCGAATGCAATGTGTTATTGTCTGCAAAGGTAGACACATGGAAAACTTGGAATTCTAGTAAAAGAGTCTTTTCCTCTTTCCTGTCTTGTTTTGTAATTTTATTTTCCAATGCGCTAAGCCGTTTGCGCAGGAAAAAGTTGGGTGTATCCCTCCGAAAATTTGCAAATATTTTCAGTGTAACCGTAACCGCTCTGTTGTATTGAAAGCTCTATTGTTTTAAATCATCAGAAACTCGAGAGCATCCCTTAAAATAACAATACCTGAAATTGCATTTCGATTGGTTGAACGCATAGGCCTCTAGGTGTTCATATACCGGGGAACTTTTTTATGAACTACAGAAATGTCTTTCAGTAAATGCCAAAGTTTGCTTCATTTTTAAGCAGTTTTAGCTTTTTAACTAAATTTAGTGAAAAGAATGATTAAGAGACCAACAGTATTAAGGAAGGGAAAATTTACTAATTTCTTCCTTTTTGACAGGTTATTGGTTTGCTTTAATGTGAAATTTTAAAATTCTCATAGTAAGCATTTCATATCGGATCTTTAAGGACTGAAAAAAGGAATTTTAATAATAAGTAGAAATGGCTCATGGAAATTTGAGGCAGTTTTATAACAAGTAGGAAGGAAAAAGAGGATTATTTTGATTGTTTTTAACGACTTGATATATTTTAAAAATCCTTGAGAACCTATATCAGTATAAAAGAGAAAAAAATTGGAATAGCGTATTGTTATGTAGTATGTTAAAAGTAGTATGTGAAGAACAAACATTAATAGAATTAGAATGTTTCCTACAGCAAACTGAATAATGTTGCTTAAAATGGAAAAAATTTTATTGTTATTCATTAAATCCATTCCAGTGAAACTGAAATAAACCTACCACTACTTGTTGCATCATATCCAGTATTCCATGCCCGATACTGAGATGGAGTCACGTAGATTCCTGCTGGTTCTTGCAGTAAAGGTATTCCTGACACTCCAGGACCTATACCGACATCAGAAAGCTTAGGTTTCGTTTCTGGATCCAGTTGCATCGTAGATAATGATTTTGCTTAGATAATGAGTTGGATGATTTGTTGAATCCAGACGCTATTTGAGATCTCGATATAAATTAGATATTAGCAAGTATCCACGAACTAGCCACGATACTGCAGTAAAAATTGAACTGAAATACAACCTTGAATTCCTTCCTAAAATGTTAATGAACAAATAATATTTTGTTTGTTTAATTAAAAAAATAAAAAATATAAGTTTTTATATAAAAGTTATTATAGGGGATTGAAACACTGATAACTGTTTTTATGAGCTCTTGCAATGAAAACAATTCTATTACTTTCAAGAAATGTAAAGATGGTTATTCACGATATTTTTAAAAGATTACGTCACTAAATATCTCTCAAAATGCCTGATGGTAGACACTTGACGTTCCATAAATTGGAACCACCAAGGTTACTGATAATTTAATTTTAGTTTGAGAAAAATGCTGCCTTTTAAATTGAAACTTAGGACAAAAAGAAGAACTTTTGATTAGGACAAAAAGAAGGTATCAGGTGTTAAATCTTTGCAGAGGTACTATGAAACTAAACGGCAGTGACCCGGATAGCAGTTGATATAAACAACAATAAACGCGCAAACCCACATACACACCTATAAAAAAGTAATGGGAAAAGAGGGCAAAGTTTAAAAAATAAAATTATCTCAAACTTAAAATGCAAGCTTTTAAATTATCCCAGCATGGTAATATACAAGAAGAAAAGGACATTCAATTAATTATAAATGCCAAGAACAATATCTGGTTAACAAAACCAAAACTGAAAAATGAGCAGTTTTTATCCTATTTTCTCATAATAGGTACAAGTTTCTTACTGTAATTCTTAAGAAGTGCACTGAAAACCACTTTCATATTGTTACAAGAATTATCAGACACTCAAAACTTTAAAATAATGAGTTGATCAAAGATGATTTTACGTCACCATGACACGCTAAAGAATTTCAGATTCGTCATGTAGAAAAATACTAGCTTTAAACGTATATTAATTTGTTCAAGTAACAGAATACAATTTAACTACTTCTCAGTCTTCACGATGAAAGAGAGAGAGAGAGGGCATCACTTAGAGGGCCTACTTACATTAAGCTCTGCCAAAATGTCATTGTGCTAATAAACCTCAGTTATGATCAACAAACATCAAACGGAAAATAACTACTGAATTTGAAAAACTGTTCAGTGCATATCAAGCAAATTATTCTTACCTCGGAAGTAACATAAATATTCTAACTTCAGAAATTATGGAAAATAAACAAATAGTAGCTACACTAATACTACAGATTTCATATATGAAATTCTCTCTATCTCTCTCTCTCTCTCTATATATATATATATAAAGCTGCAACTGCAAAGACAGAAAAATAATTCTTTTGCATTACAATCTTTTCTCATTTCCACGAGAAAATCCAGGTCTAATTAAGTATCATTCATCGTTGTAACTTATCAGTACCTCCTTGCGAAAAAGAAACATATTGACACGGCATAAAAATGTGTAGAAGTTATTAAACATTTGATAAAGCATTAAAATAAGCCTCTAATTTTAGAATTTGAAAATATAGAAAAAAACAATTTTTTTCTATCAGCCGTACATACATGAAAGGCTTTTTTTGAATAAATGTATTAGAAAAGTGTTTGAAAGCTTTCGAACGTTAAAAAACAGATATATCATATATATATAGTAATATGCGTATAAAAAACTTGCAGGCTTAGAAGCAAAAAAATTATTTTTGTTGTATATGCGTATTGTGGTAGTAGTATATTTTGCCGTTTAACTACCATAAAATGTAATAAATCGGCTACGAATTGTTTTCATTTTGATGTCTAATGCTAGTAATGCGTAATAATATCTACAGTATGTTCTACCTTTTCACTAAAATATTGATGCAGGTAGAAACAAAGAGATTGATTCATGTCGCAAATAAATATGTTAGATATTACATTAATAACATTTTTCTTTACATTACTTTACAGTTACAGTATTGCATGTAATATATATAAAACGTATATGAAATTTGTTTTTGTCCGACTACTTATATTATCATTATGGCTTTTTTTAGTCAACAGCTGGTCAAAAGTAACAAAGTTTCTAAAGGTTATAAGCTATAACCAAATTTTCGATAATATTTCTCTCCCTAAACTCTGCGTTATTCAAGAATGAGCTGAATATTTAGTTTGTTATAAGTTACGCATCAATGAAAACAATTTAATCTGCCAGTGTGTATCTACCCTTCCCAAATCTGAATGAAATTAAAATTGTAACATAGTGTAAAGAAACCTTAATTCTATAAATGTGAGTTTAGAAACATTAATTTTGGAACACATATTTTTATATTTTAAATAAGTTTTTCTAAATTTAAATTTCGACTTTTAGATAAATATATATTGTATTAAAAGTAAACTACATATTTAAGTGCTTTGTCGATGCATTTCAGTCTGGTTAAAAGTTCCTAACTGAATTATTAAAATCAGGAATTAAGTTTGATCTAGACAATTTAAAAGAAAAAAGAAGTAATGCTCAAACAAAGTCAGCAAATATTCAAAATGACAACTTTGAAAACATGGCAGTGTAAAAAATTTAAGAATATCTAAATAATGTATATAAAAATTACTACCAATGAGTTCGTGGATAAAAATGAAATAAAAATTAATTAATTTTTTATGAAATCACAAAAGGCTACAACTACTTTGAACTAAATTAAAAAGGACTAAGTTCTAGAGACGAATGAAACACAGAATATTTATTATCATGAGCACAAAATTTAATCGAAGCTTTAAAAATAGCAACTAAAATTAATTAATTAATTGAAGATAAATCAGTCAATAAATAAACAACATAGAAAGAATGTACATCACGGAGCACTGCCAAAAACTTAGAATAAAACCTTACTTTGATATTTCGAGTAATTTTATATATTTACCTCTCACTTTCTGAGCTGATTTTGAATAATGGAAATTAAAAGTTTATTTCAAATTATAGGGATGTGGGAAAACTCGCGAAACGATTATTAAAATACTTGCGCTAGCATAAAAAATAATAAACTTTTAGGAGCATAAATATTAAGCCAGATTCCAACAGTTTCTTACCAACCAACCATTCGCTTCGTGACGGAGAACAATAGAACTGTCGTTTTAAAAGCTAAACTGAATTTTTACCCATCGGCTGTTTGGCTTCACAGAACTTCCACGATATTTTTTTCTCTTTGTGTGGTATGTACATTTATTTTATTTGCTTCTTTTAACTCTCTTTGGTTGCCCGGCATTTTGGAGACACTGTTTCCGCAGCGTCATATATTGGGGTTTTTGTTTTCTCCCTTTGCTATTTTCGTTAGCTTAAGAAAAACCTTCTCTTCTTAAATTTATGTTGTTGTTTTATTTGCACAATTTTTTAGCGAGTTGGTGGAGTGTGCAATAAAAGTTTGCTTTTGTTATTTTTACTGGAACAAGAATAGGATTTTCTATTCCAAGGAAGTGCATTTTTGCGTAGAATACTAGTTAAAAGTTATTGTTTTTCTCAAAACCTTGCTCCTGGAAGGGCGATGCCCCTAGTAACATTTTCCGACAATAGAATAACACAAGAATAAAGAACAAAATAAGTACTAGCATGCTTTTAATGAGCTATTATGGGTTTTGATTCTTATTCGCCACAATAAGGCATGATGAATCACTGCAAAAATCGAATCACGTGAATGTTTCAGCTTCCCAGTGCGTATACGCATTTATTCCCTTAGCTCCTATTTTAATGCAGGTATTTTGATGTCATCTGCGGCGAACCCAACACTTCATTAGGCTTGTTTGGAGTACGGTGGCAGACCCAGCCAATGTTTTTGTATGAGAGCGACGACAAGTATGTCTGGACTAGAGAGGGAAAGAGCGCTATGCTCTACTGCCGTGTTTCAATCAACTCTATTGGCAACATATCTTTATTTGCACTCTCGGTGATTATTGGTTAAAATGTTATTGATTATTTGATAAAAAAAATAATGTGTGCTTTGTAACCGGTAAACAACAAAATGAAGTCCAAACAGGAAACATTTTTTTTGATGGCATTAAGAATAAATAGCTGAGTGAAATTCAACCAGTTATGAGTTTCGAGAATGGCACTAACAAACGGCCGCATGAGGTACTGACTATTGCATGTACAAAAAAGAAAAAAAAATCTGGATTTGATAGTATTTTAACAATTATACAAAATTTGGTTTTATGAAACATGCTGATGAAAAATCACAATGGATTATTTAGTTATATCTCCTTATGAGTTTATGAAACTTTCAAAGTTTATAAATAAGAAAAGATTATAAAGAGAAGAGATTGTTAGCTAAAAATAAGAAGAAAGGATTAATAGCTAGTAAATAGACTACGTCTTTTAGGTTTTCTCGGGAGCCTTAGCATGAAAATCTATTATTGCTTCTTATGAAATACCCCCAATTAATTGCTGAAATTGGATAGTCGCATACGTTTGCGAAAAAGTTAATTGTTTCTGCAATGAATGTGTTGGAATCTAGCGTATATGAAAAAACTAGCAAAACCAGATAAATGCTATTCATTGTGTTATCGGTTTAACATAATGAACAAGATTATAATGGGAGATAATTGTTGAAATAGAAGGTAATATCGAAGAAACTCCTGTTATTCCCTTAAAACAGTGCATTTTGTTTTCTCTTGAAGTCGCTGAAAGTACAGACATATTAGGCAATGCCATTTTAATGTCTTTTGTGAGATATTGAGTTTGAGAATACCTCTAATGAAGAATTTCTATTTTTCAAGCCATTGAATACAAGAACTAGCAGAAGAAATTTTTAACTTCATTGATCCTTACATCAGTCGAAATGATATTGACTGGGAAAAAGCGTGCAACTAAACAGCGATGGTACTCGCGCAGTAACAAACGTCCGTACGGGATGCATATTTCACATGTGCACATCAGCTTAGCCACTAAGGGAGGGATTTCGAAAATAGACCAACGAGCTTCTATCGCTCTTGTGACGCTAAATCTTCATGCATTGTGAACGTAAGTTTGTGTTTTAATTTGCATTTGTTTCTCAGTTATAAATGTATGACGTAATAGTAGAAAATCCCGTAGTTCTTTCGTTTTTATGAGTTTAATTAATCGCTGACATTTCGCTTTCGCGATTTTTATCACGCATTAATATTTGGATTGATGTTTACGGCATATTATCGCTTTTTATATTGAAAAAATGACTCAAGCTACAATTAGCTTCGAATATTATGCATTTACTAACACCTGTGGATTAACCCTTTGCGGCACAGTGTGTCCGGTCTGGACACACCTAAAAATTTCCTTCTGTATGCACAGAAAAATTGAATGAATTTATAGGTTACTCTGAACCTTCTTTATTTATAGTAGATGGCAGCTCAACACAAACCAGTCCATATATTTTAGCCATGCTTAGTTTTTTAAGACCCCTTTTTCAAAGAAAGAAATCTTCCAGATTTTTTAGGTATAAAAGAAATTGTTTGAAAGAAATTTCTATGTTATTTTTTGGCTGCATGCTAATTCTCCTTATTCTATATTAGTTTTAAATTTTTACCTTGAAATCTTGCCTAAAATCAAACGGCGAACCTAGAATATCGGTGTGCCCAGATCGGGCTCACCGATATTCTAGGACAACTGAGAGTCTATATTCTTTGTTTCTCCGCATCTCATTGTCAGTTCGGTCAGTTCATTGACAACAATGCTCGTTTCAGCACTCTTTTCGAAGCACTATTCAATCAGTGTTCCACTTTGGGCACACCCACAGAATTAAAACGATATGTGCTATCTTCACAAAATTTTACTTGTGTACTTCTCTAGGCCTAATTAGACTGCCTAATTAAATAAACTTTTTTTTTAATCAAAACTCTGACTTTAAAAGGTAGCGTGCCGGAAAGGGTTAAAAGAATTCAAGCTTGTATCTATATTTTTAATTGAGCTCAGAAGGACTGGAAGTGTTACAATGAATCTAGTGTTTTCTTATTTCAGTGCTTGCATTCTTTTGGTTTTAAAGTGTAAGGTTCAGAATGCATATTGTGTTTGATCTGATTATATCCATTGTTAATATTAAAAGTTATATGTGAATAAGTTGAATATATTCGTTGCTAATAGGATAAATTCATTCTATTTGATGAGTATTTCTTGTGTAAACAGTATATTTAAGAGTGAGCAGTTATTAAATGTGAAATTTAACACACTAAATGAATACGAATGCAAATTAGTAAAGTTCACTTTGAATCAAATTCTGCATTGGCTATTATTATAGAACATCTTTTTCATACAGACTGCAATAAAAAGTGCTGACTTCTATTTACATACATAATTGGTGTAAATACTTTTCTCACATGCATACTTTTATGTAAAATAGCATTTGGGCTCAGATGTTTATCACATAATTCTTTCTTCATTTTATTTACCACTTATTAAATAATATTTCACATAAGTTATTTTGCTGAATACCCAACATGTGTTTGTATTTATTTCAAATTCCTCCAACTAGGCAGTGAAATCTTCACAATTGCTTATATTTGAACTAACTTCGCAACGACAATTTTCCGAAGAAATCGACGATGCTTTTGTACAGAAAATTGCTTGACAAAATATTTTCAACCATCTTGCTTGAATCTTAAAGCACGCGAAAGGTCATGTGACATGACGGAAATATTACTGGATTCCCATTGGTCCATCCTAGAAGCTACTCCCCTCGGTGGCTACACAGATGTGCTCCTGTGAAAAATGCGTACGAGATTGGGGGGGAAAAATCAAAATTTAAAACCATGGCACCAGAATGTGCACGGTTGCATTGCAACATAAACAGAAAAACCTTGATCACAAAATTGCCATTGCCTTTTGGAAATTGCTATGCAAGAGCATACAAAATCTATAAATTTTATATAAAATGTGGTCCCTTGAATTCCAGGTTATTCAGTTCATTATGTAAAAAGATGGCCAATGAACATAAGCATCATCTTATTACGATGGTACGATGGAAGCGAAGTACAATGGTTATTCACAAGGAATGCTTTGAACAGACTTTTTGAAATGAGGGTGGAAATTTTAATGTTTTTTGATCAACATACCAGAGCTGCTAACAATATAATATTTGAATTTAAAGATATAAAGTATTTATTTATTTTATTTAAGTGTCTTTACTGTCATTCTCCCTTTCCGTTTTCCAGCCAGAATGTTAATCGCGTGTATTCAAATGAGGCAGAAAGAGATAGTATTTAAAGAGAGGTTTTAGATCGCTTAGACGGAGCATGTTCCGCCTGCCGAAGGCTACGTTACTAGTTGAAATTCTACGATAGCAGTCTGTGTTCCGCGTTGCTTTTATACTTGCGAATAGTGCTTGACTCTCCGGTATAGGTTTGAGCCAACTTGCGCGATAATCCTTTCTGTCAATTTGTCTTTAAGCTAAATTTATTTAATCTAGTTAAACTTAAATTCCTTGAAACTTAAATTTTGAGTTACGCCATAAATGTTGGCTGGTTCTAAGCACAAGACGTGCCTTCTGTTCAATTATTTCAGTTCTTAATAAAAGGTTCTTTTACATATTTTTCGCTTTTCTGTTTCATTGACAAAACATAGCAACAATTCGTTTAATTCTTCAAAAATCTTCCCTTAGGGCATGCTTCCCAAAAGACTGAGACTCTATAAAGATAATTTTAGTGATGTTAACTGGCTGATGAAATTATCGTACCTTTGTGACATTTTTGATTTTTTTTTAAATAAATTAAATATTTTGTTACAAGGCAACATTGTTACTAACCGTATTTTAATATTGAAGGTGTTAAAGTAACGGAAAAAGATGAAAACTGCAGTGGAAAACTCAGTTTCTGGATGTTTCGTGGAAAAGCAGAAAATTATAATGTTTTTATGAAGCTAACATTAACTTAAATACAAAAGGATTACAATGCTAGTTCCATTTCCGATAAAATTTTAGTTGCTATCAAAGAACATCTACAGGATTGCAGACAAATCTGAAAGCGTATTTTCCACCAATTTATAGCAACAAAGCATAGATAAGATACCCTTTCACAATTAATAAAGAATCAGAGACGGACTTATTGGATTTAGGTACTGAT